TCGTGATGCCCGCTCGGCCCGCGCTCGGTGCCGCGATGCCCTGTCCGAAAAGATCCGAGCGAACGCCTCGGATGACTCGCTGGCGAATACCTCCGGGTGGAATCCGCACCACTCGGTGCACGGTGACGCGGCCGTCGACCGCGCCGATCGCACCTGAGGTGTCGGTCGAGGGTTCAAATACCCGATTGTTTCTCTTTCCGTGCCCGGTGGAGCGCAACGGCGTGCGCTGGCGTGTCCGTGCTGCACTTCCGGCCGCGAAGCGCGAAGCTCGAACCTCGAAGGCGCCAACTGGCGCGGCCCTGCCCGCGAGTACGAGGTTCTGCCCGCGGCGCCGCCCGATAACAAACCCAATGTGCCGGAACATCCAGCGAGATTTAAAACGCGAGGCCAAAGTCGGCGCTCACAATTAGCTGTGGATCGAAGTCGTGGCTTCGCTACATATTTCGTTTTGTCTTCGTGGATACAATAGCGGAGCAGTCGGGTCAGACGTCGACCGGGCGGTGCAAGGGAAGAGCGCAGCGAAAACAAAGACAAAGAAAACAAAAAAAAATCATCCAATTGATGGTCTTTCTAATGAGAGGAGAAACATGATCCGAACGGGAGATATTTGGTGCTTATGGGTTGGCTGCGCTGGGCTGCGCTGGGCTGTGCTGAGCGGCGCTGCGGTGGGAAACGTGCATTGTTTTCCATCGATAAGGTGGCCATGGGGCCGCCATGGGGCCGCCGGCCGCCGTGCCCCGGCCGTGCCACGCCGCTTGCGAGGTTCTGCCCGTTTGGGCTTTGGCCGCGCGGGTCGTGACCAGCTCGTCTTAATTCACCGCCCGTAATCGAAGGCGGTGGACGCCAGTGGACGCCAGTGCCGCCAACACGACTCATCCGTCGAGGTTTGGCCAGCCAGCCACGCCCAGCCACAACCTGGAAGGTACACCGTGCGGGTTTGCAGTGCAGGCGGGCATGTGTCGGGCCCGAAATGGCATACGATCAGTTGTGGTCCAGCCCGTAATGGTAATGGTAATGGAGGGTAGGCCGTACTGCTGCACCACCGCGTGGCGCGGGCAGGCCTACCCGAGTCCCGCAGGCGTCCCACACTGCCAAGCCAGCAGCTCGTTACCGCCATCTCGTCCTCCGCGGCGTCATCGGGGCGTCATCGCCGGCCTCGGGGTCGCGTCGAGGAAGCGGAATGAACAAGCCACTATTGCCGTGGCGCTCGTGCTCTGTGTGTGTGTAACAACACATCTGCCCCTGAGCAGACCTTGTGCACATTGCGGACACTACGCGCGTACTGCACCGGCTTCATCAAGACAATGCAAGTCAGATGTGTGTCCTTTCTTGTCCATTGCGTCACCCGCACTCACACAGAGACATTCAGACTCACAGACTGGCAGGGGCACGCTCGTCGAACATGTACGCACTTGGATAGGAGCGAACACCCGCCTCTCGCACTCGGGAACAGACATGCACGGGCCGTCTGTGTGTGTGTTAGTGCGATGGTACAGTGCCAAGGGGCCTGATGTTGACAAATGGATATTAATTCGCGTGTCACATGGGCATGCGACTCCAGGCAGGCAGACTCCAGGGCTCCAGGTGGTGGGGGTGTCGCAGCGCCGCCTTGTCCAGGCTTGTCCAGGCTTCTCCAGTGTGCTGACACCTCCCGGCTGAGACTTGGCAGGTGCAGACGCTGTGCAGCTGGGGCTGCTAAGAGGATTCCAGCCGCTGGAAACTGCTATTCACAGAGCTTTGACTGGCCGGGCAGGCTGTCGCGGCTGGAAACGGCTGTCCGCGGCTGGAAAATGGATGTCTCCGGCTGGAAAAGTGGCTGGAGGAGGACCCCGGCGACGCAAAGCCCCGCAAAGCGCATGTCCAGCGGGTTGTTGCTGCGCGCTCAGCTCGCGCTGCACCCAGGTGCCTCAAAGCAACAAATTACCGAAAAGGTGGTGCGTGCGAACATGGCCGCGTGCGTGTTGGATGTGATATCTTTGTTAGCATTGCTCCGTGCGCCTCCTTGGCACCCAGATCTGGCCGAGCGATCCGACGGGCCGGCCGCGTCCGCGCGCAACGAGTTGTACTCGTTCTCGGAATTTCTAATTTCCTCGATTTATTTGCGGCTGCTTCAAAGCATTTGGCTGGCTCGTTAATTTGGAGAGCGGGGCGATGACGAATTGCCGCATTGCCGCGCTGGTTGAGTCAGGCTTGCCGCTCTGCCGATAGAGACGCCAGTTCCGGGCGGCACTTCCACTTGTCTGGAGTCTGGAATGCCGCGCCGCCATTTTCGCTCTTTCGGACGCCAAAAGTCGCGCTGCGCTCAACCATTTGACTTCATTATTTTGTATTTTTATTCCCCGCTGACGACGAATCGATTTTGTGAGCTTGTAGGGGTTGACCTTTGTCCTAATTGAGTCGTACAAGGGGCCGTGTCGCGCCAATGTGATGATTATACTTTCGACCGCGTGTTCTGCCGTGGCCAAAGAATGAAAATAAAAAGCCAAACGAGAAATTGAGATTTTGGCGGCGGATTCCGGCGGCGTGCCTGAAATGTCCGACACGGTACGGCGGCGTACGGCGGCGGTACGGCGCTGCACGGTATGGTCCGTTCGGATTCCTCCAGGCCTCATGTTGACCTTAGCGATCCGCTCCAGCGATCCGCTCCAGCGATGGCCGCCCAATTAATTTCCTTCCGTGCGAAACGAAATCGTGCCGAGTTCGCCTTTATTTTTCCTTGAATGGAATCGAAATGATCGTCGCCTATCTGCATGCAGACCGTTCCCACTGCCGAAAAGGAGGAGGGTCAGGGGGGAGTCGAACCCGCGACCGCGAGTGAGACACTGGGAAAGAAAGGTCAAGCGGCGCGAAGGGCCGCAGTAAAAATTGGCATTGTGACATTTTTATTGGAATAGGAGGTGCAACGGACGCAATGGCAATGGAGGGATTAGAGAAGCAAGGAGTTACAGCTCTCCCCCACCCCCAGTCTCCACCGGCACTGGTTGCGCCTCGCTGATCATGCTCCGAGAATAGAAATTTTTACGACGATTTGTTGCGCTGCCGCGGACACGGCGACCTCTTGTTGATAAAGGAGCTTCCTGGGTGTAGAAACAACTCTGAATAAATACCTAGTTTCCTCTAGGGAAAAGCAAGCGGCCGAGGCGCGCGCCCGGGAAAAACGATACGCTTATTATTTTATTTTTTTTGAAGGGAGGTGCTAATAAAATGTATCCTGCCATTGTTTTCTGGAAGAAAAAAGTGTGAAGATGGTAAGCGATTCGCTGCCGCTGGTCAGTCGGGTTCATGAATTGGGCAACGACCGATCAATATTTATGTGGTTGCACTAAAACGACATGGCTGGACGAGCAACACCTTCCCGAAACAATGGCCGACCGTCGCACGGAAGCATCTCCACCCACGCAATAATAAAAAGGACCATTTGACGGCGGGCGGGCTTTGGCGAAACGCGCCGCGGGGCCCTCGCACTGAGGTGTCCTGAGGTGTTCGCCAACATAAAAAGTACATTTTATTGGATTTTTATTAAAACAAAAAAGAATACATGACATGAAAATTATTAAAACAAGACTGATATCAAAAGAATTTTACATAGAAAGGGAAAGAAAAATTTCAGTCAAATGTAAGTACATGAAAAAGGTCCCTCACACAGCCTCAAAAAATAATGGAATCAACGGTATTCGAACCCGCGGAAACTTGGTGGAAAGGACACGCACGGTGACCCTTCGCCCACACCGGAAGCGAGCGGGGTCCGGAATGGCGCTTTATACGCTAATTCGGAGGTGCGCAGTGCAGTGGAACGGCGTGGGGCGGGGCCGCGAAGGACAGTAGAGCAAGATAGGACCCTTTCGGAGGAGTGTCCTCTCGAGGCGTACACCTGCACAGCCTGCACATGCTTGACGCGAATAAGAATAATGCGATGCAGTGGCGCGCTCTGACGGCGGGGCAGCCGGGCAGCCCTGCGCTAGGTATGCAGGGCTCTGTTTGACCACGTCGGGTATTTGATTAGGCCGGTAGTTCAGCAAGCCGAGCGAGCCGAGCAAGCGTTCCGGAGCGAGCCGAGACACTGCAAGCCACTGCCGAGTCGGGACGAACGCGGACGAACGTCAGCGCATCGCCCTGCCGGCCCTGCCGGCCCTGCCACCGCACATCGCCCTGCCCATACCGTATGAGCCGTGTTGTCTTGCGTGTTATTTCATTCGCGTCCACTGTAAATCGAGCCTGTTTCTTGAAACCCCGCTCACGGATATGTCGACCGCCGGCAGAGCCTGTCGTGTCGCGGGCAGGTCTAGCTCGATTTCCACACACGTTTTATGTGTCATTAGCTGACCATATAGCTACTGCTAATTATAGACACCGCTGTTATACAACGCGCTTGCTGTCTTGTTGACTTCTTTTGATTCTTTCCAACTCGTTTACTGGGGTACCGCACCACCCCTGCTCTACGGGTAGATGGTAGTAGTGGTAGGAAATTGTCAGTCTTACTCTTGCTTAGTAGTAGCTTAGGTTGTTTGGGTTGGGCTGAAGCTTCTGGTCGGAGGGTGAGGGAATGCCCACGAAAGCCGTCGTGGCCGTGACGTGAAGAAGGGGCGTGCCGTCCTGGGGTGCGCGGTGCCGCCCGGGGGCTAGCTCGCGGTGCAGGTGAAGCAGGCTGTGCTGCAGGCCGTGCTGCAGGCCATGTGTGTGATTCACTTGCCTGGCATCCTCGGACTTGCTCCTCGCTACTCGCTCCGCTTCGGACCCACTCGCCATGCTTGCTGCCTGCTGGCCGGCAGGCCGGTCCTGCCGGCCCGTGGCGAGCCGCCGCCGCCATCCTGGCCGCCCGCCCCTGCCGCCCCCACCCCCGCCTCCTCCGGGCGGGCGCGTTCGGGCGCGCTTCGGGTCGCCGTCGGCTCGTCTTCGGCTCGCCGGCCGCGGCCATCTCGCGGCCCGCTCGGCTCGGCTCCCTGCTCGCTCGCTCGGCGGGTCGCTCGGCGCCCCCTCTCTCGCCACTACAGTGGTGGATGTCGATCGGGGAGGTTCGTGCCGCGCGCGCCGCGTTGAGAGTGTTCGCTGCGAGCGCGAGTCCCGGTGTCAACAAGGCGACCGTCCGCCTTCACTCGCGTCGCGAACAAGTGTGTCTTTGTGGTGCAGTGATGTGATGTGGTTGTGATCAACGCCCCGGAGTACCTCGCCAGTGTGTGTGTGGTGTGTGTGCTCCTCAAGATGGAAGCCCTGTCTGGAGGGCCCGTGTGACGCCCTGGACGCCGTCCTGGACGCCGTCCTGGTGGTCCCAGTGTGTGAGGGAGGCCATGGTGCTGAACATGGCCTGGGGTGGTGGTGCAGTGGCACGAAGCTGCGTGCTAAGGTGCAGGTTGCCCTTGCCTTGCACAAGGGTGACCTCATGCCTCACGCTAGTGTTACTAATATGTTTCGAGACTGTCCTGCTATCGACAGTGAGCTGCACGAAAACCTTCACCGTCCATTGGAATACAACAAATCCAATGTAAGTATCGCCAGGACGCCGCCGCCTTGTGGATTACTTCAAGACAAGCCGAGAGGATTCGCCGCTCTGTGTGATGTGTGCTTCGACCTCCCCTTCTGCTGCTGCTACTGAAACCCTCCTGAATGTGTCCGGGATAATTTGTGCATTAAGCTGTTCTATCGGGAATGTTTACTAACGAGAGGCCTTTGTCTGTCGCATTCAAACTGGTTTATTGAATACATTTGAGTGGTCAGTGTCGACCCTCCGAGGGCTGCCTGGGCCAAGGCCTGGCTGCCACAAGGTTTCTTTTATTTGTGCACGGAAGCACAAGTTGATGTAATGTATGGAAGGTGATGGAGTCCCCTCGCCTACCTTCCACCTCAGTTGTCAATGAAAGAATTGTTCCTGTGCTTAAAGATGTTTCCAAGTCGCGTTCCAAAAGCAGCGCAAGGGACTTAAATGCTGGTAAAGCATAAAGTTGCTGCCCTGGCTGATCTAATACCTTCCAAAGTCCATTGTGCAGTTGGAGGCCAAATGACTGCGGCCTGTCCGTCCACGGCGTCCGCTTGCATAACCAATGGGGTCAAAGAGCACACTTTGTCAACCCGGACAAAAACACGCCGTTGTTCCACGGGCCGTTCCACGGAAAGGACGCAAAAGGAAGAGCTTGGCGCCGCGGCGTGGCGGGGCGTGGCGTATGCCACCCGGACTACCCGGCGGATCGCCCTAGCGCACAATACCATGTTCCGAGAACAGAGATGGCGTCGCTCGGCCCGGTCGGCCGTCGGGTGAGCCGGGCACCATCCGGGCAGCCTGTCCCGGCCGGCCCGGCCGCGCTCGCTCACCTGCCCGGCTCGGCTCGGCTCGCCGCTCCAGCTCCAGCGCGGCAGGCTCCAGCAGACTCCAGCAAGCCAGGCCCTGGCAGCGAGTCTTTTGTTCATGTCGCCCGTGTGCTTGACTCGTGCTGGCATGGAATGCATGTGTTTTACACGGCCATGCGATGACATTTTCATTGTTTGTGGCGCTGCTGGCTTGCCACGACCACATCCCGGCCTGGAGTCTAGGGCGCCGCATCCGCGAGGCGTCCTAGAGGCGTCCTGGAGGCGTCCTGGAGGCGTCCTGGAGGCGTCCTGGAGGCGTCCTGGAGGCGTCCTGGAGCACTGGAAGTCGCCTCGCCGGTGACACAGTTTGAGATGAGCGCCGAGCCACGACGCTGTCTGTGCCATGACTCGGCCTTGCGGTGCCCGGCCATTCCGCAGAGAGAGAGAGAGAGAGAGAGAGAGAGAGAGAGAGAGGAGAGAGAGAGAGAGAGAGAGAGCGGTGCCCCGGAATGACGGAGTCGCGAAGGATATTTATTCTACTTCTCTGCGGTCTGTATGGCATCGCTGTCATTGTGGCCCCGGTGGTGCCCTAAGAAAACAGTGACGTGGGGGAATGTGCCACAGTGTGCCACAATGTGCCTGGAATCCCCCACGTGTTGTTTCTGACATCATTACGCTGCTGCACTGTAACGGACTTCATGAAGTGGAGTCAATACGTATCATCATGCTGCACAATTTCACGGTGGATGCGACGGGGTCGAGTGGAGGGCATGCCTGGCGGGGCTGGCAGGGCTGGCAGGGCCAGGTAGGCGACATGTCCTCGAGGAAATGGCAAAGGAGCAGGAGGAGGGTAACGTTAAATTAGTGCTGGCCCTCCAGTGGAGGGCTCACCTGCCCCCAGACGTCCCCAGCGTGGCCCGATTCATTGGCTGCAATGATCTATCCGGCAGCCTGGCTAGCCCCGGCTTATCGGCAGCCCCGGCACTGGAAATTGGTGTCATTTATAATGTTGTCCCGCCTGCCGGCTAGTTAGCGGGTGTTGGCGCGCCTGGAAAACCTGGAAACGTGACCGGTGACCATGCAATAATAGCCGAAGCGACCAACACCTGCACGGCGCGGCGCGGGGCGGGGCGGGGCGGGGCGCATGGCGGGCACCGCTATCGCCTGCATCAGCAAGCGGACTGCAAGCGGACTGCAAGCGGCGAGCGAACAGTCGCGCAAATTTAAAATTTCCCCGACAGCAACACGGGGGTCAGCAGCTGGCGTGGCATCGCCGGCATGACTTCCTTGAAGCGGCCCGCGGACTGATTCCGAGCAGTCTGTCACTCTCGCACTCACGGGGCGTCCCGTCAGGGTGCGAGAGAGACAGACTCATTCGCCGGAACGCTGACGGCGAGGTGGGTGTCGATGTGATCGGAATGGAAGTGCTCCTTCGGGCGACGCGGTGGGCAGCCCTACACTGGGAACAGGTTCGCACCGCGTCTATAGCGCGGCCGGCGCACTGCCCCGCTCTTGACCGTGACTGTACCCGTGGCCGATTTTCGGAGCGCGGCGCCGCCGGCTCCGTGCATGACGGCGCCCTGTGTGAGATTGGGTGTCCCTCCCCCTTCCGCGCGCTCTGGGGGGGAAAAAAACCTTGGGCCGGCCGACGCGCTCAAACTCTCTCCGTGTGAGACTAGAGAGAGACAGAGTGCCCCCCCTAGTGGCCTTTGGGGGCCCGAGTCCTGGGTGTTCGCGGGGGGGAAACCCCCTTTCTCTTCCGGAGGGCCCCTTTCCACCCCAGAACCCCGGCGAGGCGCCCCATGGGAATACAGTGTGGGAAAAAACACGTCCTGGTGTTCGTACGGCGGGTTGGCAGGTTTACTTACAACATCTCGGCTTTGTGGGGGTTTTCGCCCGGAGCGGCCGCCGGTTTTACTAGCCACTCGGTAAACCCGTGCGAACTACGCCCGGCCGGTTTTAGGGAATTAGTTACAGTATGCCGAATAGAGAAAAGGAACGAGGCGAATCTCTCTGTCGCGACGTCGCTCCGTCGCGCTCACGGCGCCGTCCGGAACGGAGCGAGAGAGACGGACAGCAATGACGAATTAATTACACCGAAGACGGAAGAAAGCGAACGGCGGCCATCTTTAAAGTGATGAGTGACCTGGAACTCGTTTTGGCGTCCGCGCCACTGGCAGCACAGCGCAGCGGGACTCTGGAGAGAGGGGGGGTGATCGGGGTGAGTCACTCCTGCAGGTCCAGTGTCCGCGAGCTGCCGAGCAGTGGCGGCAGAGAGAGAGAAAGAGAGAGAGAGAGAGGGGGGGGGGAGGAAAGGGAGCGTGCAACATGTGAGGCAGTATCCCCATCGACAAGGCGCCTCACAGTCGTTTAGTGTAAACCTGAGAAAGTCGGCGCGCGGCGTTGCAGTCACACCTAAGTCGTTTAATGCGCCGCCGCGTGGGACTTGAGCTTTTCCCTTTCTCGCGCGCGGGTTCGATCCCGGGTCGTGGCCTTTCGTTTTTTTTTCGCGTTGTACTTTTCGGGACGGGTGCTTCCAAGGGGGGTTCCGCGTGGTGGTTTCTGCCCACTCTTTGACCCCCTCCCCCTCTCACAATCTGGAAAGGACGCGCCACCTTTTAATTACACACACACACACACACACACACACACACACACTCACTCACACACACGGCAGAGTTATGACGATAATTGTCCGAGTGTGGTTGGCATACGAGGTGCCGCGCGGTGCCACAGCGCCAGGCAGGGCGAATCCGAGCGGAGCACTGGAAGTGGGAGCGAGCCCGGCCGAGCCGAGCCGAGCCGGGCCGAGCGATGAACCAGGCAGCCGGCATCCTCCAGCCAGTCTCCAGCCGGCCCGCTGGAAACAGACCTACACCGCCGTATAGTTTCCTCGAGTTGAAAAGAGAAAAAGTGCGTGACTTCGCGCCGCGCGAGCAAAAGGAGTGTGCGTCAGTTCGTTTTTTGACATTTTTTTTTTCGGCCTCGGGCGATTTTTTGAGAAAGGCTCCAGTGTCCCATTCCTCTGAATGCTGCAGTCTTGGCCAGAGAAAGTGTCGTAAAAAGGGCGACACAAAAAAGTGCAGCTTGAATGGATCATGTTGACGGAGCAATTTGACTCTGTCGTCCGGATGAGGTCATTACCGTGTCCAGGAACTGACACGCCGATATTTGGCGCGACTTTTTTTCCCGAGTCCTCTCCGGTGGGTTCCCGATGGGCCGTAGCCGGGGCGCTGGTGTGTGTCCGCCGTGTGGGCCTCTCCGCCGAGTCGAACGGACAAAGAGAAACACACACTCGCCGCGCCGGGCCGCGCTGGGACGGGGCGGCCTATACCTGGCCCTGAATAGAGGATCCCTCTCGAAAGGGAATAAGTCCTTTGCGTCTGATTATTATTGCAGACGTTGGGGCGAAGCGAGGTTCGCAGCATCTGTTGGCAGTGCCACCTGTAGGCAAACACACACACTCGGCGTGCCTTTTATCGACGTCTCGATGGGGATTGGAGGAAACTTCATTCGGAGCGATTCGTGTTTCGGCGGCTACAGTGGCGTGGCGGGTGAACGGCGCGGCCTGGCGTGCGTGGGCGGAGGGACCGCAGGGACCGGCCAGCGCCGCGGGGGTCGCGGGGATCTAGCGCGAGGCCGCGAGGCCGCGGAGCCGCGAAGTTTAACGGGATTTACTAGTTGCGTGAAGGTGGCTGGCGTGCAGTACCTGTCCTTCGCCGTGCCATGTCCAGTCGCGGCCCCCGGGGCGAAGGCGCCGACCCTTTGTTCCTCTCTCTCTCTCTCTCTCTCTCTCTCTCTCTCTCTCTCTCTCTCTCTCTCTCTCTCTCTCTCTCTCTCTCTCTTCACCCCGCCCCCAGAGGCGCCCATTGCTCCTAGGCGGGTTCGGAGCGCGAAACCCGTGATTAGAACAGCGACCGAGTGAAGCCTCCGACTTCGGCAAGGAATGCTCGCCGGCCCTCTGACAAAAGTGCCCAGTAACGAGTAATGTTTCTTGCGAAACATGTGTTTGCGGGGAAATAATGGTGAGTTGGCCCGTGTGCGAGAGAGTGGCTCGGAGGGAGAGAGAGAGAGAGAGAGAGAGAGAGAGAGAGAGAGAGAGAGAGAGAGAGAGAGAGAGAGAGAGAGAGGCCCCCGCGTGCATTATATGGCGTACGGGAAACCTGTTTGCGACGGACGCTCGCTGCGCCAGGCTACGCC